CGAGAAAGTGCCACGCCTGCTAGGCCCTGCGACATTGGCGCGTATAGGGACCGCGGTGAGAGACCACCCCCTGCGCACCCCCTCCGGTGTCGAGAAAGTGCCACGCCTGCTAGGCCCTGCGACATTGGCGCGTATAGAGACCGCGGTGAGAGACCACCCCCTGCGCACCCCCTCTGGTGTCGAGAAAGTGCCACGCCTGCTAGGCCCTGCGACATTGGCGCGTATAGAGACCGCGGTGAGAGACCACCCCCTGCGCACCCCCTCTGGTGTCGAGAAAGTGCCACGCCTGCTAGGCCCTGCGACATTGGCGCGTATAGGGGCCGCGGTGAGAGACCACCCCCTGCGCACCCCCTGCGGTGTCGAGAAAGTGCCACGCCTGCTAGGCCCTGCGACATTGGCGCGTATAGAGACCGCGGTGAGAGACCACCCCCTGCGCACCCCCTCCGGTGTCGAGAAAGTGCCACGCCTGCTAGGCCCTGCGACATTGGCGCGTATAGAGACCGCGGTGAGAGAGGCCCCGACCGTATAGAGACCGCGGTGAGAGACCACCCCCTGCGCACCCCCTCTGGTGTCGAGAAAGTGCCACGCCTGCTAGGCCCTGCGACATTGGCGCGTATAGGGACCGCGGTGAGAGACCGCCCCCTGCGCACCCCCTCTGGTGTCGAGAAAGTGCCACGCCTGCTAGGCCCTGCGACATTGGCGCGTATAGAGACCGCGGTGAGAGACCACCCCCTGCGCACCCCCTCTGGTGTCGAGAAAGTGCCACGCCTGCTAGGCCTGCGACATTGGCGCGTATAGTGTATGATGCGTGTGCGGCTATATCGGGGCGTGTCTCATGTGGGTGCCCACTATGTCGCGCACACGCTTCAATGGACGTTGCAGTGATCACGCCAGGCGCGCACTAGCGTTGTATGTTGTGTGTGTGTGTTGTATGCGAGTGTGTGCATGCGCGCGGCCGTATGTAGACGCGTGTCTCATGTACTTGCCGTGCACGCGTTGAGCGCGGGTGAGGAGTGAAAGGAGGAGAGAGGAGATGAGGTGTGAGGTGAGGTGAGACGCGGGTGCGCCGCGGCAGGGAAGAGAACCAGAACCCTACGAAACATGTGGGAAATACCGAAAACTAAAAACCCGTCCCCGGTGTTGGTTGTCACCAAGTGAGGTGATGCCCCAGGCAGGTCCGCGCCGCGTTGACGCGGCGGCGGCCATACCCAGCGCTGGTGTGCACGGCTGAAGATGGGCTGTGCTTTTGTTCGGGTCGTTCTTTACGCCCGGATCTCGGGTCCAGGTGTGCCCCTGACCCACGGCAGGGCCGGACCTCGACGCTGTTTGGCTGGACTTCGGCGGTGTTGTGTGTTTTCCGTGTTCGGCAGGGAGGTGCAGGACGACGGGTCGAGCAGCACGAACAACAAGACGAGACCAGAACGAAACACAGCGTTCGGGTCCAGCCCTGACCCACGGCTCCCCTAGGATCTTCGAGGGGGCCCCACGGCCTCCAGAGCACCCCCCTATGAGGCCCGGAGGGCCCAGGGATAGGTCGGGCTTGCCCCCCTACAGGCCGATTTTCGAGGAAAAATAAAGATAGCCAAACATACGCAGAATGTCTAAGAAATGCAAGAAAATAGTCGGACTATGTTTAAAACCATTTTCGAATATTCTTCCTCCTGTAGAGGGACAGGCCCGACTTAAGCCCAGGGGCTCCAGCATGGAGCGAAAAGCGGGGGGCACCCTGGGACAGGGTTACGTCGGGCGTGTCCCTCTACAGGAGGAATACGTATTCAAAATAGTTAAGAATAATTTGGGGACGATTTTCGTCTCCCAACCTTCCTTGGCTGGGTATTCGTTTTGAATAGAGCACTGCGGTCGCGTCCTTCTCCTCCCGCCTCCTGCCTCCTGTCTTCCGCCTCCCGCCCCCCCTCCTGCCTGTCTCTTCTTGTGAGGCACCGCGCGGATCTGAGCGGGACCTCCCCGTCCCTGGGGTCCAGCGGAGTGAGGCACCGCGTGGATTTGAGCGGGACCTCCCCGTCCCTGGGGGGCTGCGTTCTGCGACGTTGTCGCCATTTTCGAGGGCTGCTGGTGGGTCCAGCGGAGTGAGGCGCCGCGCGGATCTGAGCGGGACCTCACCGTCCTTGGGGGGCTGCGATTTGCGAAATTGTCGCCTCTTTCGAGTTCTGCTGGTGGTTCCAGCGGAGTGAGGCACCGCGCGGATCTGAGCGGGACCTCCCCGTCCCTTGGGGGTTGCGTTCTGTGACATTGTCGCCATTTTCGAGGGCTGCTGGTGGGTCTAGCGGAGTGAGGCACCGCGCGGATCTGAGCGGGACCTCCCCGTCCCTGGGGGGGCTGCGTTCTGCGACGCTGTTGTCACTTTTTAGTGCTGCTGGTGGGTCCAGCGGAGTGAGGCACCGCGCGGATCTGAGCGGGACCTCCCCGTCCCTGGGGGGCTGTGATCTGCGAAATTGTCGCCACTTTCGAGGGCTGCTGGTGGGTCCAGCGGAGTGAGGCA